TAGTACTAGTAGTACTACTACGTACCGTAACGTAATTACTAAGTACTAGGCGTACGTTAGGTACGTCTATATAGTAACTAGTAGGTACGTACTACCTACGATTTTACGTATATATATATATATATATATATATATATATATATATATATATTCTTAAGGCTGACATTAAGTGAAATGTTTTAAAATAAAATAAAAAGTTTAATAGCTATTGTTTCTACCAGAATTTTGGTCAATTTATAGTTCAAGAACTGTTAAACATCGTGTTTATGATCTGCCTATTTACCAGGTGGGAGTGACGGGGTATTGCATGGGCGGGGCTCTCTCTATTGCAAGTGCTGTTCTAGTACCTGACATCGATGCTGTTGTAGCATTCTACGGTGTTCCTTCTCCCCAGCTTGCAGATCCCTCCTCTGCTAAGGCACCAGTGCAGGCTCATTTTGGGGAACTGGATAATTTTGTTGGTTTTTCTGATGTCACAGTATGATCCTTTGAGTGACTTGTGCCCAATGCATTGGAGACATAAATGTGGCTTGGAATATTTCTATGCCTGAAGGATTTCATTTATCATTAATTTTCATTTGAAATTTTCCATCAAATACACTGCCTCTTTTTTGATTGGTACATGACTGCAAATTCGCTTCCACAGCAAATGGTTGATGAAGAGATTTTCAGACCAAAACTTGAGCTATACATTTGAAAAATGAGTTAATTAGCTTATAGAAATGGCTTAGATGGTAATAGAGTGTGCTCCATGACATCGATTCTGGCCCGGGGAGTTTTTAATTGTGAATTTTCAGATTTTATCTTGGTTGGCTGTTAACTGTAGATAATATTTAGCATAGGTCGTATTAAAAAGCATTTATTTTCCTGGTTACACCAAGATGAGTATTGAAGATTAGCTTGGCACAGGCATTTCTATCAGAAGAAAATTTGGTTTCCGTTGTTTGTCCAAGTTCAATATATAAAACTTCTATAATTCTATTTATGAGAAACTCAGAAGTGCTATTTCTTCGTATCACTTTGTTTCTTACCCAGACTATTATTTTTCAGGCTGCCAAGTCTCTGGAGGAGAAACTGAAATCAAGTGGAGTTCCTTATGAGGTTCATATATATCCAGGCTGTGCCCATGCATTCATGACCACTTCTCCCGAGGGTGTCAAGAGGAGGCAAGGGATGGGGCTGACTGATCACAATGAGGAGGCCGTACATACGGCTTGGTCTCGATTTGAAACATGGATGGGCAAATATTTGTCCCCATGACTGCGTGCATATTTTCCATGCTTGGAAACTAGACTATTGAGTTATGCGAGGTGGTCCTTATTATGTTTGGAAGCTTGGTAGTTTCCCTTGGATGCGGTGCCCCTCATTACTGAGTACTCATAAAAGAAATGGTGTGCTACGGTATTAGTATTTCTTATGTTAAAGTTGAGTATTGTATCAACTAAAGATTGACTGACATGTTTAAGTATCTATTATATATTAATTAAGCTATAATTGAGGGTAGAAACACATAACATTCAACTTCAACTAAAACTAAAAATATATAAGGTAGAGTACTTATGAAGGGGGCCTACAAAGTAGTCATTTAGAGTAGTTTTCCCCATAAGTGCATTTATTCTCAATCCCTTCCTAAAGTGAATATTCCATTAGTAATTTGTTTAGAAATATAGAAAAATAAATTCAATTAGGAAGAAAACTGTCTTTAATCTTGTGCATATAAGGAATGCATTGGACATCCATATCTCCCATTTTCAGGAGTATCAGCTTTATTGCCAATTAGGTACATAATTTTTAAATTTTAAATATTTTATTGTTTGGAAATCTATTTTATGTATTTTTACCAGCATAATATGGCAGTCACAATAATAGCCCGTTCCTCATGTAAATGCATATATTTTTCTCTAATATGGTGGGTTGTGTTGGCGCTTTGGTGCGTCCGAATACAGATTGGATGTGGTTTCTATAAGGCCTAGGCTTTATAAAAACAAAGTAAAGCCTCACTTGGAATCTTTATTCGAAAAGCAGTTTGAGCATCGAAAATTTATGATAGCTCTAAAATTAGTTTCCAACACTTACGGCAATTTGAAGATAAAAAAATGATACAGATCTTATGGATTTGTGAACACTTATTTTTAAGTTGAAATAAATATTATAGATTATGTGTTATAATATATATTATTTCTAGGGTTTCAAATCTTTTCTTTTCTTTTTTCACAATTATAACAGTCAAGGCCGAGCAATTTGAAGGTTTTCCAATACCAAAACAGTAATTTTTGGTAAGTTTTGAAGTGAAGACCTTATTTATTTTCATAAGGCTGTAGCCTTATTGAAACATTTTCCTTATCAATATGATGATTGTGACACCCATTGGGTACGTGCTCTAGTTTTTGGTTCTGTATAGATGGCTCCTGGCCATTGATTTTCACTGAGTTCTTATCATGCGAGAATTACGTTTTCCTGGAAAATGTCATTTTCGCCATCTAATCCATTTTAGGCTCATTTTGAGCCATTCCTCGCTTCCAAGAAAAATAAATCTTGTACTTTCCATAGACCTGCAAGATTTACAGTTTTTCTTATCGATGCCTAATTTTTTCAAAATGGCAAGTTATGAAAATTAGGTTTTTCTAGGTTTTGAACTCCCCTCTCTGATTTGTGTTTTTATTCTTAGAAATTGCTGGGGCTTTTATTAGGGTCTGAGAATCGTCATACAACATTAATTTACTAAGTCTTATATTTGATTAGTAGGTTTGGACGAAATATGAGTTTATCTTAACTATCAATGCTCTTGGCTTTTCATTGGCTTTTCCAACGATCAATACTCTTGGCTTCTCCAAAATATCAATACTCTTGGCTTTTCCAAACTAATGTAGGTTTGGACGAAATATGAGCTTATTTTAACTAGTTCTAGTTGCTGATTAATTACATGAATGTGCATTTTTTTTTTTTGATTTCAAAATTTACTTTTTGGAATTATAAATTTTTCTTTTGTGAAAGTCATTAAATATCACTTTTTTTTATATAGAGTGGTTTTTTAATTGAAGTTTTGTATATTATTATTATCATTATTATTATTAATTTATCTTGTTTGTTCTTGACTTCTCACAATTTATCGTATCTGGAATTATTTTATTTTTGATGTTTATTTGTCCTGTGTTCAATGCTTTTCTATTTTCTTGTGTGGTATTTTTGTGTGATTATAAGTTCTCTCGTTTTAATTCTTGATTTTAAAGTATTTTTGGGTATTTTTAGGAAGTATTTGGTAAAATTTTTGGTTTATTCATTCTATATTAAATATTTTTCTGTTCAATTATTTACTAATTTTTAAGATTTATTTACTCTGATTCTAACATCGAATTTGTTTCCCCAATTTTTTGGGGGATTTTAATCCTTTTCAGTTTTATTTTTAAAGCAATTAGTGTTTGTTTTATCAAAAAAATTAACGAGTGGTTCTTTTTGTCATTCAAATGTTGCATAATGTTTTTGTTGCAATGGGTCTGCCAGTTCGGGCCGGCCCGATTGGCTCCATGCCGGAAAACTTCACGTCCTGGCTGCTTTTTTTTTCCCTCATTTTGTTCTCTTTTTAATTAGGTCTCTTGGGCTGGCCTTGCCTGATCAGGCCTAGACAGAGCTAATGTTGGGTCTGAGCAAGACTCTTACGCACAAGCTGACCCTATAAAGGATTAGGGCAGGGCTGGCCCGCCCTGTTGTCAGCCCTACTTGACAACACATTGTTAGAGCACATCTCAACTAAACGGATAACTAGATATGTGTATTAATAATGAGGATGATGTAAACAAATACTATACAAAAGCTATGGATAGCCTCATGCTTCGATGAAGATCTCACAAAAATTAGAACACCATGAAGCTTTGGCATCCCCTCCTAGCTTTATGATGGAGCTTTAATACAGCTCCTTCCTAAAATCTCACTCTCTACACCACACTTTCTCACACTGCATAACACCTCACTGTACGTAAGAGAAGAGAGAAACCCTAGGCTTGGAATGCCACACTAAAGAGAGAAAGGTTGATCAAAGAAGCTAAGATGGGGATATTTATAAGCAAGTGTAAAGAGACTTTTAAATGAGTTAATTTTGGCCATTAATCATTTATGGAATGAGAGAGGCTTAATCCTTGCCACTCATCATACCATTTTGATAAGTTGATGAGATTTAACACCCTATTTTCCCATAAAACTTTAATTCATTCCAAATTTTCCATCGTTAATCTCAAATTCAAATGAACATTAAATTCAACTTGCTCCCACAAATGCCCATGTCTAATCACTTTAATTAAATGAAGAAGCAAAGATAGGGGCTTACCCCTAATGTCATTTTGCACACATTCTAGAGGCCATTTGAATTTTCACTTTACCTCCAAATTCGGATTTCATGCGCACCCAATTACATGATGCCATCTAAAATAGTTAGTTATATTCGTAATTCAATATAAGCTTAGGGTTTCAATCATAACATCAAAACCTATAAAATCTCCTCATAAAATTCACAAAATCCCAATTAAAATAGCACATGACATAATATACACCAAATGACAAGGGGATCCCGCCATGGGGTTAATGGGTCCTGCCATGGGGTTAATAACACCCCCCACACCATCTCTAATGGGTTTGATATGGACCCCCCATGGTCCCAGGTGGCATCCATTGGATACTCGTATTAGGTCGAAACAATTTTCAAAAATTTCATTTTTGGCTTTGAAAAATCTCAGAATATCCCAAAAAATCACCTAAGCTTATTCAATCAATATAACATAATTTGATATCATATAAAATATTAATGAAGAAAATTAGAATCTTATGAAAATAAATTGACATTGGAGTGCTTTACTCAGCTAGACCCAAAATCCAAAGTAACATTTTCAAAATACCCCAACAAGCCCATGACCTATAATGTAAGGCAAAAACTCATACTTGCTTACAAAGTCGATCTAATATGTGGTTTAGTACTCTCAAGTTGTAGTGGATTACAAGTGTAACCCCATGGGCATGCTCTCTAGTGGATGTGAGGGTCCTCACTTGACATATATGTACTCTCTTCATGGTGATTAGCTATGGAAGAGTGGCTTCCCATTTGCAATAGTATATGCACGTGCTATGAGAAGGTTACGAGGTCAGTGATTTTGGCTTATGTACTCAAAGCCCTAACATTTTCATATGATGCTAAAATGCACGAGCTCATATCATAAGCAATTAATCACAATCAATCACATACACAATGTCTCAGCCATCCCATAGTTACGAGGCATAAATCAAATACTAACCTTGACTACATGCAACCCTCAACCCTCTCGATGCCTCTCACATATACATCAGCCTCTTGAACCTCAATGTTCATGGCCGTTGGTCCCAGTGGACCAAGATCCTAAGAAGATTTATGTTGAGGAATACTATCTTGCAAAGAGCAAGTCAATCCTAAAACCTGGCCACCATCTTTCTTTAAGTCTTTTCTTTCCATTCCCTCACACTGTAAAAAACAAAAAAACCCCTTCGACATCAACATTTAAAATATATTACCTTGTCCCAAGCTAAAGCCACCTTCTACACTACTAATAGCATCCCCCATATCTTTCTAGGGATTCTAAAATTTTACCTGATAACTAGAATTCCCAAAATCATCTCTTTTATTATAACCTCCTCTCTCACCTTTTTCATTTTTTAGCAAACAATCCAACTTAATTTCTTCATTTCTTTTGTCATCAATAAGATAAAATCTAAATACCAAATATTTAGAGCAAAATGAGGTAATAACTCCTCCTAAATCACACCTTTTTCGAAGGAACTTCACTATTTAAATTTTGATTTGACACATGATTCAATTGTCTAATAGGATTTCCAAACTGTGTAACTTTCGAATTTTGAACCATACCTGACTTGGCAAAAGCCAACTTGATGATTGGCCCTCCATAGAGTGGGTAAGTTCTTTATAGTTAATGTGGCATGGTACCTTGATTGGTCCATTCTACTATATATACATATGTCCTCGAGCAATTATCCCATCATTATCCCTCTTCTGATTACCATGTTTCCTTGTGACAAGGGTCCATCCTTCCTCCTTATCACCACTTGATTCCCAAACACCATCCTTGGTTTGTAGAAATAGTGTACAGTCTATGTATAGCTATCCCTTGTTTTGTGCACCAAATTATATAGAAGATATTTATAATATATTTAGGGGATATTTGGGGAATCTGTTTTTATATTGTTGGGATCTAGTAACATCTATAAAATGCTTGGTGAATAGAATAATGGGTAAGAGAGAAGATCCCTCTAATCGTGGATGTAGGTCTAGAGATTGAACCACATATACTATATCTTCTTCTTGTTTTTCTCCTTGAAATCTTATCTCTTGTTTCTGGTTTTTCTTTTAAATGCATTTTGATATGGTCTCAAAGCACTAATCCAATTATCATTTAGGCTTCTTATTTCACAGTTGGACATTGGGCATCAAAGATCTCGTTGTCCACAGATGTTGCTAATT